CCCGGCCTGTGATTGGCTTGGGGGGCGCGAGCGCCCGCCCTGGCAAGCGGGGAGGGTCTGCTCCAGGCGCCCGGTGGGAGGAGGCAGCGGCGGAGAGGCGGGGAGAGCGGGGGCCGGGACGGACGGCGAGGGGGGCGGGCGAGCCGGGTCTCGGGGTTCGCAGAGCCCGATCGGAGTGGGGCGGAGAGCGGCTGGCGGGCGGGGAGGACCAGAGGGCGGGCGGGAGGAAGCAGGAGAGTGCGGGGAGGGGAAGCCCGGAGGGCTCCGCGTCGCCGCCGCTGCGCGCTGGGGTAGGCGCCGGGACTGTCGCCGCCGCTCGGCGCGCTCTCCGGAGCCGCCAGCCCGCACGTCCCGCAGCCTTCCGGGAGGAGGCGTGCGCCCGGCCACCTTCACCTGCGGGCCCCGGCCGTCTCCCGGGCGGGCTGCGCGCAGGGCCGGGTGCGGGACCGGCCGGCCGCGGAGCAGAGCGGAGATCGGTGACCCCGCGCCGCAGCCCAGTTACCCCGGAGCGCCTCGGATCCCATGCAGGGCGCCGGCTCCATGGCGACCGGACTCGGGGAACCAGTCTACGGACTTTCGGAAGAGGAGGTGAGCGGCGCCCCCTTCCCGCCAGGGGTTCTCCGAGGAGTTCCTGCCCCGGGCCGGCCTGGAGGGGGACGGGGCCATCGCCGAAGCGCCCACCCTTCTCGCGCCGGCCGGGGAGCGGGGTCCTCGGGGGTGCCTCGGGAACCCCCCAGCCGCGCGCATTGTTTGTAAATAATCGACGCGACGCCTTCGGAGCTGGGCTTCGCGCCGCAGCTCCCCGCTTCGGGGGCGGCGGAGGGCGCGTGCGCTTCTGTGCCCCGCGGGTCCCTTTCTTCTGGCCGCGTCTCTGGGGTGTTGGGCAACTTTGCTCTGTTGCCCCTGCAGCCCGGAGTACATGACGTGGGTCACGTCTGGGTGGGGCGGGGGCTGCGGGGGGGGCGCGATCGTCTCTCCTCCTCCCCCCTGGAAGTTTGTTGGGACCGATCGTGACCGCGGGCTCTCCGACTCGACGGGGCGCCGGTCCAGTTGGGAGAAGCGGGGGGTGGGGGGTGGGGGTGGGATGGGGGGAGAAGACGCCAGGAGTTGCCTTGCAGAGTCTGCAGCCAGGATTGTGCATTTCGGAGCGTGTGTGTGTTTGTGTGTGTGTGTGTGTGGGTCGCCAAGGAAGGTAGCAGGTGCTGTTGCTGGAAACTTGCAGCCCTGCCATGTTTTTCCTCCCCAGGATTCTGTGCCCCGCACCTCTGGGGTGGGTGGAGGGAGCCGAGCTCCATTGATCTCTTTTATTAATAAAGCGAATGAAGTAGGCCACGCCCCCAGACTGTCGGTTTGGCAGGAAGGGGGCTTTGTTTTCGCCCGGACTCTTTTTTGCGTTTCCTATTCCCTCGTTTATTTATTTATCCCCCCCCCCCCAACGATCCTGCTCACTCTCCGACCAGCCTCTCTGGACCAGCCACGCTCTGTTCTTATTGGTGTGTTGTTCTGCTAAAAGAAAAAAAAAAAGTGGGGGGAGGTGGGTGGGTGGGTGGGCCCGCGGCGGGCGCGGCGAGACGGGCAGGCTGCCGAGAGCAGGTAGGAGTGGTTTGCCATCTGGCGGGGTGCGCGCCCAGCTCTGGCTCCCCTTTGGAGAGGTGAATTTACAACCCCTGAAGCATTACTCAGCAGGGAGGTATTTCCTATCCTGGTTGTGCATTTCATGAAAAGTTGATGCCTGGAAATGCAGGCTTTCTCGATTTCTCTTTATCCTCCTTTCTTTCTTCGGAGGTTCCCTCTTTCTCTGGTTGATGGGGGTGGGGTTTAAAGAGAGGGTATTATCTGAGCCTGGCTCACGTTATGGCTTCCTTTTCTGATGCTTTCCTACTGTGGCGTGTGTGTGTACGTGTGTACTTTATCTAAATGTGTAATGAAATAAGTATCTTGGCAGGGGGAGGGCATGTTGGGGTTGACTTTATTTTTTTTCCTCTTGAAGGTGCTAGGCAAGGTTTGCTCTGGTGTTTGTTTTATCAAAGAACGACCACAGTGCAAATGTAATGTGTGATTTGTCTTTTTGATTTCTTTTCCCATGCCTTGCTTGTGTAAAAGAATGTCCCTTTTTGTGTGTGTGTAGTCACCTGGAGATGGGTGAAAAGTAGCTTTGTCTCGTTTACCCAGGAGACATCCTGGCTTCTGGGCTTTATCTGGAGCTTTCTCTTACATCCTCCACTTCTCCATTTAATTAGTGGCAGCCGAGGGGAGGCCCGGATCCCTTGGAGGTGCTGAGATACCGACAGACATATTCCTAAACAAAGGGCTGCTTGAGCCGAGGTTATCTTGGGGGATGAAGATAGCTATTATCTCTTCTTAGGTTCTTTAAAAAGATTTTTAATAATATGATTATTTGTAAAAGTTCCCTGAAAAAAATGTTTTAAGAATGTTTTGGGAAATGCAGTTGCTGAAGGAATTCCCATCTTTGGTCCTCGTTGTTGATCTAATGATGCTTTGTTTATGTGGGTAGTTGGTGTCACAATTCACCTAGAGTGCATCTTGCCACTTGTGTCTGGGTGAGTCACTTACTGTTCTAAGCCGGAGTGGAGTGTGAACGTGGAGGAAGGAAGGGTGTAAACAGTGTGGGGGGACTTCTGTGAGGGGGTTCACTCTGGAATCCCCAAGGGTATTAGAGACTGTAGAGGGAAGAGCAAAAAGGTGCTGAAGACATCTTTGATTATTCATTGCCACCATGCTGGGACGGCTCTGCTCCACATGCTATACAGTACACAGACAACCCTTATCTGTCTTCCTTTCTTAGCTACCAGTGAGGAAAACCATGCAAGGGGTGTTTGGATAACTTCACATTTTTGTGGTATTTGTTTTTTCTGGGAGGTTTCTCATTGTTAGATTGCCATGTGGAGAATCAGGGAATGCCTTTGTAGCATATTAACAACAAATGGTTGATTTTTTTTGGACCACTTTGGCCTGTCTCCCTGAACTAGTGTAGCAAAGAAAACAAATGGAAGATTTTCACCAGGGTCTGGAAGTAGGAGGCCTGAGGAAACAAACAGCCAGGGGTGGGTTTTGCAAGGTATGTTGCATATGGGCACCTCTCCTAGGTGAGTGGACTTTGCAGTTGAAGGTATTTTGATTGCTACAGAGAGAGCCTGCTTGTAAGCCACCCATACCTAGAGGGTCTCCTATGAGTGAATTTGTAACATGTCTTTGAAGTTATGGAAAATACAAATATAAAAAATAAATTGTCCTTGTATTTGAGGATAATGGTGCTTTCTTACAAAGACTGTTGAGGTCTGGAGCACTCAGTGGAGAAGCACATGCAGTGTTCACATGGAATGGAACTATTCCTTGGACCAATAGCCTGGGTCTGTCAGCCAGCCTTGGTCTGTCCTGCTTATGGAAGGAATTAAGGTGAGGGCTTTACACTGCTTTATTGTTGCGGTGCATTTCTGGCTGAGGTTCCTCTGGAGATTGTATACTTCATACTCACTCTGGTTTAAACAAGGTCAATTTGGGCAACCAAATTGGAAACCACCACCAGATGAGTTCTGTTGAACAAAACTTCTTATTCATGACTGAGGATCAGATTGGGTTTGGAATCAGAACTGTTTGGACTGGTTTTTGTGTCTGGCTTGGGTTCTTTAGAGGTTGGTTTTTTTTTTTAATATTTATTCTTTTTTTTTTTTTGGCCATCTGTAGCACTGTTTGGCATCATTTACTCATGAATGCTACTGCTAACCTTCTGGAAGGTTTTTATTACATCTCAGAAAGGTATCTTTTATTGAAAGGACTTTCTACTTGGTGAAGCATTAGCTTAAATGACAGCCTTCTTTTAAGAGGAGATAGGACTGTTTATTTGGTGCCAGTTCTGGGACTTGAACTTAAGGCCTAGATGCTGTCCCTTCACTTTTCCCCCTCAAAGATAGCACTCGACCACTCAAGCCATAGCTTCACTTCTGGCTTTTTGGTGGTTAATTGGAGATAAAAGTCTCCCAGACTTTCTTGCCCAGGCTGGCTTCCAACTGAAATTCCTTAGACCTGAGCCTCCTAAGTAGCTAGGATTACAGGCATGAGCCATTGGTACCCCAGTTAGGATTTTCTTTATTGATTTATTCGTGATTAGGAACTTGCTAACACACATTCAGGCTAACCTTTGGCATAGATAACATATTTCTTTCATTTTGCTGACAGTTTTCAGAAGCATCATTTTATGTACCAGTAGGAAAGAAAAAAATAGCTGTCACATTATGACATTCTGTCAGTTTTAAGAAGCATCTCTATTTCAGAAATGTTAAAATATGAAAATAAGTATGTTTTAGAACTGATGAATTATAATGATTAAACCTCAGGTAAGCCTAAGTCATCAGTTTCAGTACCATCATCCTTTAACACTTTCTTGGGCGGGCGGGTGGGTTGGGGTTTAAACTCAGCTTGTTACACATTCTATGCCTGTGTTTCTCCACCGAGCTATAGCCCCAGCCCCAAGACATGTTTAAATCAGCCTTTAAGTCAGATTTCTGGCTCTTTTTTTGCATCTGAAAAGAAGAGCTGCAGAAGGAAGGGCTGTGAATGGGTGTCAGCGGGGAGGCAAGCAGGAAGAGCCACCTCTAAGTGATGAAGAATAATTAATTTTAAATAGGGGACCCCAGCGTTTTGGAAGAGATTGGTAAATCCTGAACACCATGTTTGCAGAGCTGTGCCATACAGTCAAGACTAGGTTGCTTTGGGAAATTACAGTGTAGGCATTGTTTGCATCTCAAGGTGCATGCTGACTGGCAGTTTTCTGCAGGGAAGTCTTGCCCAGTCATGCCAACCCCAAGTGTCTGTGCTGGGCTGAATACATAGCTAAGACAGGGGCCACCGTACTTGGTCTGTGCCAGGAACTGTTGGAGAAATAACTAAAATGGGCCTGGGTTTTGTGGTGACATTTAAAAGCAGTTACATGTTTATGTTTGCAATGCTAGGGATCAAACCCAGGGCCTCAAACATGCTAGGCAAGTGCTCTACCACTGGACTGTGTGTACAGCCAACGATATAAATATATGTGTGTATATACATACATCTATGTGTGTGTATGTTTATAAGTGTGTATATACCCGCTCAGATCAAGTGTTTTGTTTTGGTACTAGGGTTTGAATCAGGTCTTCATGTTCGTTATTCAGCCTCTTTGCCACTTGGGCTATGTCTCTAAACCTTTTTGCTTTTGTTTTTTTACAAATAGGGTCTCACATTTGTGCCAGGGTGCTCTGAACCCATCTTCCTATTTACACTTCCTGTGTAGCTAGGATTACACACATATGGCAATGCACCTATTTTATCGGTTGAGATAGCGTTTTGAGAACTTTTCCCCCCTGGGCTGGCCTTCAACCTGCTATCTTCTGGACCTTTGCCTCTGGGTGGCTAGGATTGTAGGTGTGACCTACTGCACATAGTCCCCAGACAGTTCATTGATGGCTTTGTTTTCAGTTATACTGTCATTAAATTTTACTTTTTATCAAGCATGGTAGCACATGTTTGTAATTCCAGCACTTGAGAGGCTAAGATAGGAGAATAGTAAGTTGGAGGCCTTGCTCTCTCTGACA